TGTACCACTGTTCCCCATTTGATGGAGGCGGCCCTGGCGAGCTGCCGCGTTAGCTCCCACCACGGCCGCCTCCACTGAGCCTTAAGCCGTCAACAGTTCACTTGTCAAAATGTTCTGTTGCCGACGGCCTCAGTGAAGGCGTACAACCCGAGTGGCGACTGTTAGCGGTTTGCGCTCTATTGGTCTCGGGTTCACGCCGTGTGGCCTCCCCTTGGTGGTGGGAAGATTAGGGCCTCCCTGGAGCGTTGAATCACGCTGTCAAGGGGTATTAGATTTGGTTTGGTCGAGCACTTAGTTAAAAATTCTTTGAATTAAAATTAAAAAATGCTTTTAGGCTTTCCGCGAAATTTTCATATTTGTAGCGGTTGTGATTAAAAGAATTGAATTTAATCTACTCCTTTAAATGCTGCTGCATATGTTTGGTAAATATATTTAATCACTGTGTTTGATTGCTGCGCCTGGTTGCTGAAAAGAAAGTTTGAATTCATTAGAAATTGAATGTCGCGCTATTTGGAAAATTATGCATATGTTTTGTGATAGTGTTTAATCATTTGCTTTGTGAAAAGGAAGGCTGAAATTAGATAACCCTGTTTGTGCCGAAGTAAATAAAAGCTAATTCTCTTTTGGTTTACATTTTGTTGGCACTGTCTAAGTTATTTAAATGAGAAATAGGGCTGTCTCTTGCGTCTATTGTTTTGTTTAATTTGTCAAGTTGACCTATGTGCATCGGTGATTAATTTGGTTGAATTGATTCTGTAGTTGAACATTGATGCTTTGAAAAATTAGTTGAATTACGAGCATAGGACTACTTGCCTAACAGGCTGACTAGTTGTAGATTATCAGATGGAAATCAGCTGTCGCACCATTTGGTAAATGATTATTTGGTGGATGGCCTGGCTATGCCTACTTGTTTGAAAATTCATACTAGGGACTATCTGTGCGTTCGTTCGGCTCTCCACAGACGACGTTCATGGGGAATTTGGGGGTGCTCTCTGCACTGAAGCTTAGGAGTTCACTCTGGGCCGCTTCGTGTCGCGTCGCTGTTTGCAGACCTGATCCGGTCGGTTTGCAGAACTAATCATAGGAGCACAGATAGGTGTTTGAAGGAGGTCGTCGGACTTCTGTCTAGGAATAGGACTTATTTATGGGCTGCGATATCCATGAAGGGCATCCAGTTCAACCCTCCGGCTTGCCCACGTTGGGGCTGTAATTTTGAGGCGTTGGTTAGGGTTGCAAGGTCTGATGGGGTGCCTAAGGTGGCCTAGTTTGGTGTAGATTCGGTCTTGCAACGTGCCGTCGCGACGCTGTCCCGCTTACCGGTTTGCTCGCGGACATAGGTCCTTATGTCCGGGACGGGGATTTGTTGGCGCCAAACGCTAATTTCAGGAACTAACGCGAGAGGGCGCGCAGCTCGGTGCCATACCGGTTTTGACCTCGGTCGAGCGGTGGGTGTTGAGAACGCGTAAAGGCGAAAGCAGTCGTCTGCCAGCTATGCTAACGCTAGCACACTGTCATTTTTGTTCGGGAACTGCGGAATAGTTTAGACGTCTAGTAAACATCCTGTCTAGGATTTATAACGCGAATTCCTTGTTGGATAGCCTTTCCCGGGACTTATTGGGTCCGACTCAGAATCTGTATAAGTGCATTCGACAATATTACCTAGTGCGGCCTTTGATATTCTAGAAATAACTGTTGCTACGCGAAACGGTAGTGACCTTTGATCCGGACACTCCGTGTTCGTTTTGTGCGTTAACCTTATAACAAAGGAGAGTTAGTGGCTTCTGTAAGTTAGTTAATCGTACGATAGAGTTAATGGGCTGTCATCGTGACGAACGAAGAAGTGGTCCGGCGCCGAAGCAGTCTGAAGCGGTGCAGCATTTTGGAGCAGCCTGGATCTCGGCCGCTGCTGGTCGCCTATGCTTGTCAAGGCCCCACACATTCACACCTCACTGTACACTACTCGCCATCCACTATTACACACACTCACGGCCTGCCCAAGCCTTGGTGTGAAGTTAGCTCCGGATAATGGTAAGTACTACGTGTTTCTAGCTTTCTCCCTTATTGTTTAGTGTAATTAGGAAATTCCACGTGGCCATATTCTGGCCCCGTCCCTCTGCTGCTCGTCGATGGGATTATTCATGGGCCCTAATCCCGTCATCCTTGGTTGGGGCAGCTAGGGGCGTGTACAACTTATTAAAACACTGGGGCAGACAACCACAAAAGCTAGCCCGGCAACTAATACTAACGGCTAACGACCCTAAGGCAAGCCGAAGCCCGTGTCCCAGGCGGCAAATTCAAGCTTGGCAGATGAATTCACTAAGCAGCAATATGCATCGACTTCATCCACCTGGTGGTCGTGGGGTCAACATTTTTAGATGTCAGGCCCCCAACCAGCAGTGATATAGGGCTACTCGAAGGCGCTTTCAATATCTAGAACGGCGCAAAGAGCTATTTTTTACCATCCAGCGCGTCAATAACACTGATCAGGGCTGTTTCCATAGATTTGTCTCTCCGGTAAGCATGCATGGTAATGTATGGGCCTTATAGCTCTACTACATCCAATGTCTTGAGAAGAAAGGAAGATAGGCTAATATGTCTGAAGGACTTTGGTAAGGCGTAGTCCTTTCTACCAGTCTTAGGTATAGATAGAACCTTGACGATTGTCCATCGTTCTGGAATATATCCCCATGCAAAACTTGCTCTGAAGATTTCCACCAGATAAGAATGAAGGCTATCGATACAGTGGAGTTACTAGCGTCGATCCTGGGAAATGGGTTGACGCTAGTAACTCGAATGTTTCTGCTTCACTAGTGGTGAAGTTACCATCATGCTTTTTAAGAAGCCCGATCTGAATAGGTTTAGTTTTCGATTGCATTTTGTACATTCTTGCACTTCGAGGCAAAGACTCAACGACCTCGCATAGCTTCCTCCACGATGCTCTCTTAGATTTCCTAAGTTCTTTATTATATTCGGTTAGGGCTGGACTATAAATATCCCACTCTTTAGTTTTGTGACCCTATTGAAGAGTTTCCTGGTATTTTCCCTAAGCACCTTCGGCTTAGTGTCCCCCCCAGGGAACTATTTGTGTTAAGGTCTTGGTTTTGGCGGGACAACTGCCCTCGAAGGCTTCACAAATACCTACGATTACAGTCTCCGTCCTTATCTCTAGACCTTTAATCGTTTTGATGCTTTTAGAAAATATTTTCAAATTCCTCCTTAGCCTGTCTCTATAGACATCCCAGGAGATCGCTTTTGGCTCCCTAAAAGCAACAGTTTCATAAGTTCGTAATGCTCTAATTACAAACTGTTGATGATTGTGATCAGATTCACTACTAACATGGCAGTCAATTATCCGCCTGGATATGTTATTAGTATCATAGGTTTTATCCAACACTTCTTCCTGTTCCTGCGTTCTATTACTTAAATATGAAATAATAAGCTTAAACGCCGTGTTCTTGACACCACAGTAATGTAGCTTTCTGATTATTGTCTCAAGGTGAACACAATCGAAGACCTTGGAAAGATCACAAAATATACCCAAAGCATCCTATAAAACAAGATTGAAACTCCAATTTAACTCCATCGTTCTTTTTCTTCTGCAGATGTTTTCGTTATTCTAGTTTTCGAACAAACTAAACTTATTATCGATTTGAGATAATTCTTTAGAGAATTTGTGGTCCGACTGGCACGTCCCTTTCGTGAGCAACTTCTTATTGCATATTTTGCACTAGGACTTACTTACCCTGATCATTTTAGTCAAATTTGAAATAAGTCCAGATATTGCTTTGTGCTGGTGACGACATTTGTTATTCACTTTTAATTAAAATATTCATGGAAGACACAATAAACACAGGAAACAAACGCTGTGACTGCAATGCTCTGAATTACCTCGATCAAATTAAAAAAAACTTTTTAGATCTTGTCACCAGCTTTATTCCCATTTTCTGATTGTGTCGGTACTTACTCCACATGTGCATCCGAATCAAAGGTTCACATTGATTTATGCGGATGCGGATTCGAATAACCGCAACATCTCTGATACACACTTTAGTTACCGGATTTCCTACTCGAACGTTTTCACTTGCTTTGTTTCTTTGATTTGTCATTGTAAATAACTTATAGTCATGATTGTTAATTACAAATGTGGTGAAAATAATTCTAAGGCTTTGTACCTACTATTCAATAAAATACAAGTATATTTTAAAACAATTTTATTTATAAAATTAATTTAACATTATAAAATAATATGTAAAGAAGTGTTTACATTGGAATGTCAGCGTTGTTTCCAAAATCATATAGTATAATTACATAAAATATTTAGGACACCATTTTTTTTTTTGTTTGAAAATCAGATTGTAGAGTTGAAAGAGTTCAGACCTGACGAGTGATAAGCTGATGAGTTTAAATTATTTGAAACAATATTGTTTTAAATTTTTTAATAATTTAATAAAGGAATAGTAGTCTGACAAAGGAGACTACTGTTCTCACCTGATGACTAATAAGTTTTAATAATTTGAAACAATAATGTGGTACAAGTAAACTTCTGAAAGGTTATTCAGTTTTCGCTTTTTACTTTCATCATTCCTAAAATATTTTTAAGCAAATATTAATAAAGACATGCATTTAGCATAACAAAATGCTATAACTTACTACACATGAATACAGATTAAATAAAAATCTTTCTATAACTCATATCACACACATTGGAACAAAAATTAGGCTAGAATTATATGCAACGGACACACGTCATGACGTCTTTAACGTAAGTATAATATTTTTATGTTGATAATAACGTATGATTTCTATGTTTTTTTGTATAAATGGAATTGACGTCGCGTACAAAAATTATAAATATTTTCGACTAGTCACATAAGCAAATATCTAATGTTCTAAAAACGAATTGCCGTAATACAGGTTGCCTTATAAAGATTCCGACAACATAAGATTGGTGTACGTGAGGAATGCATATGTGTGCATACAATGCAGTTCTAGCCTTATCTTTATTCTTTATTAGGTAGTAAAAGAGGAAACTTTATTGGTGCTATAGTAGCGACGCGCGACAGAGAATTTGCACGAGGGGAGCGTGGGGAGCGCGGGGAGCGGGCAGGATACGGTCGGACCCGCAACTCCTCCGCACTGCGGAACGAACCACGCGATACTCGCCGACGAAATAGTGACGTCACCGACGTTTCTTGTAGTAAGCATCTGAGAAAAATTATAACCAGCTTACGACACGCCATTATCTACATATTATATTATACTATAATTTATACCTTACTGCTTACCTACTGACCATATTAGTAACCATTTACTTACAGGCGAGATGAGTTTTAAAACTTATACCGCATTATCTCAGCTTTAAACTAGAGTCTATTTCAATAACGAAGAAAGAAGACCCGTGGCAAAATATGCGTAGATACTATGATGTAGAAGAATTTTGGTGGGAACTTGACCGCTGGCGGTTTTTTGTTCCTGTTTTATCGTTCAAATAGTGGTTTGAAGTGGATTTTGATCTGTGAAAGACATGCGATTTTGTATATTGTCTGCGTATTGAACTATTAGTGGAAACATTCTCCGATGTTGATATAAACCTCAAGTGAATATAAGCGCTTGGACGTCTGAAAACTTGAGATACTGTCAGCATTGACTGTCTGTTGGCCTTAGTTGCCGTTGAAACCTCCGCAATGTGATGCATCAGCATACTGTGGGGAAGTTTTCAAACAATTTATGTGAAACTTTTATTACTTGACACTGGCAAAAGTGTCACCGTACGAGTACATTATAAAAAAGTATGGAATTTGACAGCAAATTTAAAATTTCGCACACAGACTACTATAAGGATACTATAGTGCGCGCGCGTTATATCGCAGTGAGAAAATACACCTAAATAAGCAATGAGTCCAAACTCGCATGGTTACCTACGCATAAAGTTCGCACACGTTTGAAGGAGATGGATCGAAGCACATTACCTGTTATGCGCATAAGCATACCTAATTTAAATAAATCATTATGAATATATTAAATGAAGGCTTAGATAAAACGAAAATGGTGGATAACATTAAATATACAACATCATATAAGATGAAGAAAGACTGTAACCACAGAGTAGCTTTGCCAATTTAGAGACATTTTGACATCAATGCGACATTATAATTCTTTTTTTTTTTATAGGAGAGGGGGCAAACGAGCATGCGGCTCACCTGATGGTAAGTGACTACCGCCGCCCATGAACAACTGCAACACCAGGGAGGGAATTGCAGATGCGTTGCCGGCCTTTTAAAAAGGAGTACGCTCTTTTCTTGAAGGTCCCTAAGTCGTATCGATCTGGAAAAATCGCTGATGGTAATCGATTCCACAAGGAAATCGTGCGAGGAAGAAAACATCTCCTAAATCGCACAGTGGTGGACCGCCAATCATCCAGATGGTGTGGATGGTATCGGGAGTTCTGCCGCGATGTGCGTTCGTGAAATTTGGCGGCTGGGATTAATCCGAACAATTCCTCAGAGCACTCCCCATTGTAGATGCGAAAGAAAATGCAAAGGGATGCAACATCTCTTCACAGTGCCAATTTCTATTTAGTTTCTGAATTAATTTAACGACTTTTCTAAGGTATTTTTCAAAATTAGTAATCATTATTTTATCGTGATTGAAAACGATAAAAATGTGGTAGAATTGAATCATTTGAGTTTCATGACGACGAAGCGTTAGCTTGGATGAATTAAGCTCGACACAGACGGTCAGTTAAACTGATCAGTTTAAGGTTATTAAGGTCTGTCAGTGAGCGAATAAAATATGCAAAAACGGTGATAAAACTGCAACACACCTGTATTTATGCCTTACTTTCAGTTCCTTTTTATGTAGTACGCTCGTATGTCAGTAGATGGCGCCGAAGTAACAAATATTAGTTGCGGGACCAAATCCTCAAGGTCATCGGGTTATGTAATACTCTTACTGTACGTTCAGATGACAAGCGCTCAACGCGCGTTTTGATAACGCGCGCTTACAACTACATCAGTTTTATTCAGGCCGTACACATGCTAACGCTGCGCTAGCGCTCGACTGTTGTCAGCGCGCGTCAACGCACGCTTTGAGATCATTGGTTTTCTATGTTACCGTTCAGTTGAACGCGCGCTTTTGATGCGGAGATACGTATTTTAGGGTTCGCTTAGTTCATCCAGAAATCGTCCGAAATGGAAACGGAAGCTTTTAATACCAAATTATTTATAGATGAAATAGAGAAACGTCCTGCGGTATGGGACATGACAAGTAGCGTTTATTCAGATAAGAACTTAAGGAGACGGGCTTGGGAAGAACTCGTCCTTATATTCTGTGAAGGGGATGAAAATGAAGAAAAGAAAAAAGGCTTTCAACAACATGATTACAGATCACAGCAATCTAGTGTGCCAAATAAATTAGCACATTATGGTTATACTACAGCAATGGGATCTCTATCGCCAGTAACACACACTCCATCGCCTGCACCAACCAACGCCAGCAGTGAATCGGAGATAGAGTTATTCTACGATTAACAAAATGTTCTTTTTTCCTTTCTTTTTTTCTTTTGTTCCTAAACAAGTATTGATTTATAAATTTGTGTCTTGATTAATAAAAAACTTACCTCAATGTAATTATGAGTTTTTCTTCTGGTGAAATACTATATCGCACTGCGTTTTTATTTGCTACGAGTTCATCGTTTATGAGAGCCAGTAAGTCATAAAATGACTTGATGGACAATCTGAAGTAGTTAGTAGTAAGTAGTAAGTAGAAAAATTTGGGTTCGAATTTCCTTAACTTAGGATACAAAATTATGTACTGGCTTTCAGTCAGCCTGTATGAAAAAATTGGGTGGACCCAATATCTCCGTCTTCTGTCGCGTCGTTTTTGCCGTCGGTAAAAAATCACCTCTAAAAGTGTTTCTACGTCCATCTTCGATAAATGTAGAACTCAAATGAGCCAGGCCAGGGCGGCCGCGGCAACGCGCGTGTAACGCCTGACAAGCGCGCACCATGTGAACACAACTTTTACGCGCGTTCAACGCGCGTTGAGCGCTTGTCATCTGAACGTACCCTTAAACTGACCAGTTTAAACTGACCATGTGTGTCAAGATTTAGACTTTTAAAGTACCTATACGAATTTAAACCTACTATAAATAGAATATACCAAAACATAGTTTATCACTGCTTAGCATATTATGGGGATCGAAATCACTTAGCGAGTGATGGAATTTCTCTGAATAGAAAGTCATTGTCTCATGATTATCTAACGGCACTTAGGGGAAGCCCGTTTACTTAAATAAGCCTGCACATTTTGGTGTCTAAATCTTTTGTCAATGCCTACTATTACAACGATAACTAGCCAGTTCCGGAAACCATAATCATCCTAGCGACTTTTGAATCTTCTGTCTAGCAACTTTGCTGTAGTCGAGACGGCAGCACTGCCACTTAGTACCTACTTTTTAACTACGAAGGTGCGCCGCAGCTAAGGGAGCCTTCTTTCATTCTTTCGTGACATTTCATCTTTAAACCCGAGACTATTAATTAAATAAATTACTTTTTTATTTGTACCTACATATTACAAAACAAAACACACATAGGTACTTTACATTTTATTTCGCATATTTTCCACGGGACTTCTTTATTATAAGCCTAAAACTACGTTTTGTAATAAGACGGATAATATTCAGCATTTACGTACTGAATACTGGATTACATTTGTCTGTCGACATTTATTTAGCTTTTGAGACAACGTCACAATGAAAAAGGGTGATATGAATTGAAAAAAAAAAACTTAATTAATAGAATCAGGCGTTACTTTGCGGAAATCCATTATATAAAAGCTTTTAGAAAAATTTACTTCGCAAATATCCGCGTTATAAAATAAAATGATGTGTCTTACCTAGTATGAAGAGCACCTCCCGCCCTCCCTCAATTGCGTGCACTATCCCCGTCACCACTAATCCCAGCACCGCTACTCCCAACACCACTACACTAGGCAAGACACACAACTGACGATAATACGACACATGTTTCGCCTCTACAGGAGGCATCCTCAGGTGATATAGACTCTACGATGGCTAACCGCTAAGTGAGCGGCGAGCCAAAACAAGTGCCTTTTATACAGACCGCTGCCGCAGTTATATATATATATATATATAATTTTTTTACTTCTGCCAACCATGTGTTGGAATTAAACGTAAGACATAATAGCGTCACGTTAGCACGTATTACGTAAGTGACAGTCACACTATTCTCGATCCAAAGATCTATGTATTTTGTATTGAAACAAAATCCATAATCGTAAATTTCTTCAAAATTACTAGAGAAATTAAAAAAAACAATTACAAACATGCAGGCACCCTAACAACATCTAAACACCCAATATCATTTCGTAGGTGTCATGTCGACTTTAAAAAGTACCGCATCTTTGTTAGATATAAATCCAAGCAGTGACATCGTCAAATATGCTAAGTCTGATAATGCAATTGTCAAACTGCTCGACAAGAGTGGCGATTATGACTAATTATTCTACCATAACAGAAACGAATGTGTTTGACTGTTAAAATTATATAGATATAGAAGGAAACTCTTAGGTCAGCGATAATTCCAAGCTTAAGCTCAAACCTCAAACTTCACTTTTTCAAGATTTCTAACATTTTTTTTTATTTTACACTATTTGTTATTTTTATTGTCCTTCAATTTAGATGCGATGGTTATAAAAGTTAAGTATTACTTCTCCAGTTCGGTAAGTTGCTGTTTCGGTGTGGAAGCCGCGACGGGCCGTGAACGGCCTAGCTTGGCACGCGTTGACTGCAACATGTCCTGTGTGACCAACGGCTGACTCTCTTTAGGCGCTGGTTTAGTTCGCACGGGATGGTCCTATAATTGAGACATAACTGATCATTAATAAAAAATCATTCAAGTGCAAGTAGTTCATCTATTCCGGAAGTTATAGGTAAAGTAAATACTTATTCCCGCACAGAACAAGTATTCAGTACAACAATCATTCGCTTCATTTTCCATTGTTATTTATACCAGATAGAAGTAGATATACCCAGTATCACAGAATAAATAAAATTAGTTAGTACCAGTATAGTGGCGGATTATCCCTAAGGCAAACTAGGCACTTGCCTAGGGACGCACGGTTACAGAGGGGCGCGTGCTGAAGTTTATAAACAAAGTTTTCAAAAAATTACAAAAGTACTTACCTACTTACATAAAATAAAAAATCATACTTTCTATAGAATATATATATTTTTTTATACGATAAGGGTGACAAACGAGCACACAGTCCACCTGATGGTAAGTAGTTGCTGTGGCCCATAGACATTTACATCCATTTTCAACTACGAATGAAAATGCAGACGCGTAGTCACCCAGTAGTTCTCATGGGTGGCAACGCATTTTAGTAGATAGAATGCCTCGTTTCCAGTAAAAGGGGTCTCCGGTTCTCTACACTCACCATGCGAAACACAGCAGCAGAAATGTAGAGCTTCCTACATTACCCTAACTTTCCCATCACATTTTTCATCCACGCCCATCTGTTAAGGGTACACTTATCCTAATTATTTTGCAACTGAACTATATTATAAATATTAATATGGTATATTTAATCTAATTTATTTGCAAAACAAGTAGTTATAATTTATAATATATGGCCGCCAGAGGGCGCCGTCGACTTCAACCCGCTTTGCCATGCTAATGCGGTCCATGTCTCACTTGAAAGTGTGAAACTAGTCGATGCCGATTGCGTCGAAATTTTTGTGTTGCGTTATCTAGATATCGAACCACAGTGTTGTGATAAAGAATATAATATATTACATAGGCTGCACTAAAAGTATCGGGAATAGAATATTTCCACTGTTCCTGTCATATTAAAATCTTTTTAATTGAAAACTCCTTGGTTCGGATCGAATACCATTTATTTATTTAAAAAAAGATTCTCGGTCTTGTCACAAGGTTTTGTCAAACTTGCTTAGTCGTTGAGAAAATGGAATTGACTCGAGAAAATTCAAGAGCGATGATTTATTATGACTTTCGAAGTGGTTTAACACAAAAACAGTGTATTGACCGGATGATTTCTGCATTTCGTGATGAAGCCCCATCCAAAACCACAATTTATCGCTGGTTTGCTGAATTTCAACGTGGACGTGTCAAGCTCAGTGATGATCCCCGTCAAGGTCGTCCAAAAACTCCAGTCACTCAAGAAAACGTTGATGCTGTGCGTAAGCTGATTGAGGAAGATCAACATGTGACATACCGCGAAATTCAGGCAACTTTAGACATTGGCATGAGTCAAATACAAATAATCTTGCATGAACAATTAAGTGTAAAAAAGTTGTTTTCCCGATGGATACCGCATTCGCTCTGTGAAGAGCAAAAAGCGGCTCGCGTTACTTGGTGCGTCAGAACTCTCGATAGATTCCACGCAGGATCCTCAAATGCTGTATACAACATCGTAACAGGTGACGAATCCTGGATATACGCGTACGAACCCGAAACAAAAACCAGTCACGAGTTTGGGTGTTCGAAAATGAGTTAAAGCCAATAAAAATTGTTCGTTCACGGAGTGTTGCAAAAAAAATGGTGGCCACGTGTGTCTCCAAAACCGGCCATGTTACGACTATTCCTCTTGAGGGACAAAGAACGGTTAATGCAGAATGGTATACTAGCATTTGTTTGCCACAGGTCGTTTCTGAACTCCGTAACGAGAACTGCAACCGCCGCACCATCCTCCATCACGACAATGCGAGTTCTCACACCGCACACAGAACAAAAGAGTTTTTAGAGCAAGAAAACATAGAATTATTAGACCATCCGCCGTACAGCCCCGACCTAAGCCCTAATGATTTCTATACTTTCCCTAAAATAAAGAATAAATTGCGTGGACAGAGATTTTCATCACCTGAAGAAGCTGTAGACGCCTATAAAACGGCCATTTTGGAGACCCCAACTTCCGAATGGTTGCTTCAATGATTGGTTCCATCGTATGGAAAAATGTGTCAAATTTCGCGGAGAATACTTCGAAAAGCAATAAATACATTTTTAAATAGTAATGTTGTGTCACTTCCTTGATTCCCGAAATTTTCAGTGCCGCCCTCGTATTATTACTACGTAGTTGTGTAATCGTTTCACTAGGCGACGGTCAAGTGTCATAATATTGTCAGTCAACATAAAGAAAATGACGTTACGAGTATCTACATACGTTCTTAAAAGTTAACGTTATACGAGTACAGGCATAAAGATAATATTTTTTTAAAGTTACAACAAAACTTATAACTATGAAATACTCTATCGAACTAATATTGACCAACACTTCATTTATTTCGTGATAAGCGACGACAACAGCCGCGGTAGCTCAGGGGTTCAGCGCTCGCTGTAAATTTTACAGTACGCGAGCAACGGCGGTTCGATCCCCACCGGCACCAATGAAATTATTAATTGCAATTTTAAGTCCTGATTTACCACGTGCTCGGCGGTGAAGGAAACCTGCATGTCTGACATATAAGAAAAAAAATATTTCAAAGACGTGAAGTTCGCCAACACGCATTGGGGCAGCGCGGCGGACTTTCCTAGCCCTAAAACCCTCTCAGAAATGAGAGGAGGCTTGTGCCCAGCAGTGGGACGTATGTAGGCTGTAACTTTAAGCGATGACAGCTTGTTTATGTAGATATTATAATATTAATATAGCCAGCGAAGTTTTGAACAATTTTCGATAGCATTTTCTACACCGTAGCCGTCATTAACCTGTATTCGTTATGGTAACTAACACGGAATAAATAAAAGATAGACAAAAACAAACAAGCTTGAAGTAGGTTTAAAAATATGAGTAGAGCTAATATTTTAGCTAGCATTCAAAACTAGAATCTGTGACAAGTATATACGAAACTACGAAAGCGACGAATTACACATATCACTGACCAATGCCCACTACCTATACTTATTCAAAACCGTTTTCTATGAAACCGAACTTCAATCCATTATATTTAGTACAATGTACATATTATAAAAAGAATGTTTTTATAGCTAACCCCTCGTTCTTAAAAACTTATTTATAAACTTGTGATGACATCACAAGTTATCGAGGGATTATCAATTTTAAACTCCATTTTATACATTGCTTCGAACTATTCTTACCTTATAAGTAAACAATATTATTAATAGTATATCACCTTAGCTTTTCGCAGCTTGACCTTAGCAATGTCTTCAGGCGTGATAGTAAGTCTGGGCGCGGTGACCCTTGGAGGCGCTGAGCCACATCGGGGTAGTGTGTTTGACCGTGGCAGCTTTGAGACGGGCTGGAGCGGAGGTGGCGGTGGTGGCGGCGGGGGAGGAGGAGGAGGCGGTGGTGGCGGACCCTTCACTGGAGCTACTTGAATATCTTGCCGACTGTTGTTTAAAAGCAAAATTAAACCCAAAATGCAGATAAACAGTGAACTGGAGGTCGCTAGATGACCAGTGAACCGAAACCGTCATGGAATGATGATGATACTTAAAAGTTTTTCTTTCTGACTGTTCTGACTGGCTTTATTTTTCTACCGACTTCAAAAACGAGGAGGTACTCAATTCCACTGTATGTTTTTTTATGTGTGTTACCTCATAACATTTTTCTCGGTGAACCGATTTCGATGATTCTTTTTTTATTTGAAAGCTAGTGCTTCTCATGTGGTCTCATATAAATTTGATCAAGGTCTGACCAACTGTTTTTGAGTTATTCTTAATAATTTATATTGAAGTCTTTAAATTTTTATTATAAAATTTAAATATATATTTAAATTTTTACTCTTAAATTCACGAGTGTGAATGTAAAACTTTTGTTATAGATATTTTTTTATAGAATAAGGGTGACAAACGGGCACACAGTCCACCTGATGGTAAGTTGTTGCTGTGGCCCATAGACGTCTACATCTATCTTCGTTTGCGAATTAAAATGCAGATGCGTTGTTAGCCGCGAGGACTAAGATAGAATGTAAAAAGGGTCTCCGGCTCTCTACACTCACCATACGAAACACAGCAGCATTAAGCTGCTATTTTACGCTGGTATTCTGTTGAGAGCGTGGTCCTTCCCCGGTCGAGCCGACCCATTTGTGCTACAACTATATTATTAATATAAATGCAACATGGCTCTACCACATCTAAATATATAAAACAGAGTAACATTTTTGTAACTTGTCCTCAAATCTTTTAACATTGTAATTTCTTTCCATGAACTCATCTATCCGTTACAACCTATAAAAGTCCATAACTGAACAAAAGCCCCCATAGGTTACCTCATAGAGGTGATTTTGCCATTGCTGCCACGCTTGGGAGGCGGGTTGGCAAACGCATTTCTTTATTATTTTGAGTATTTATCAGGAAGATGGTGCTGCCATCTCCTGTTTCAGTTTCCCTTTGACGCCTCTTACGACACCCACGGGAAGATATGGAATAGTGGATATTCCTACGCCGCTACTACACGGTAATACCATTATAAACTAACAACCATTTTTTATAGTCGACAGTAATAATATTTTTAAAGTTGTTTTATCTTTATTATAAAGTTAAAGTTACAGCCTAAATACGTCCCACTGCTAGGCACAGGCCTCCTCTTTTTTCCAAAAACGTTTTAGGGCAATGAAATGTCCGCCGCGCTGCCCCAATGCGTGTTGGCGAACTTCACATGTCTTTGAAAGATTTTTTTTTCTCATTTCTCAGACATGCAAGTTTCCTCACGATGTTTTCCTTCACCGCCGAGCGTGTGGTAAATCAGCACTTAAAATTGCAATTAACAATTTCATTGGTGCCGGCGGGGATCGAACCCGGGTTGCTTGCGTACTGTGAAATTTACAACAAGCGCTAAGCCTCCGAGCTACCACGGCTCATAATCTCTCTTTTTTTTATAGAATAAAGGTGACAAACGAGCACTCAGTCCACCTGATGGTATCCTCGATTACGAAACAAAATGTAGATGCGTTGTTACTTGTGAGGACTAAGATGTAATGCCTCGTTTTCAGTAAAAAGGGTCTTCGGTTGTCTACACACACCGTATGTAACACAACAGCGTAAAGCTGCTATTTTACGCTGGTATTCTGTGAGTGATTCGCGTACGCGTACGTAGCAAACTACGCGCCGCTGTCGTCACCGTCGTAGTGTGGGGCTATATAGAACACAATGTACATTAGTACGCGCGACAGACGTACGCGACCGACGTCAGCGTGGGAGGAATTCAGGCCTTACTCCTGTCGAGCCGACCCAGTCGTGCTACAACTATACTACTAATATAGCTGCAGCATGGCTCTACCACGTAAAAATTTGGCTCTAATACTTTATTATACTTATCTTTTATCTTCATTGATAAATCGTAAATTAATTGTAAGTAGTAGTCACGACTCAATAACAGATATCATTATTTTATCAATTTAGGTCTCAATATCAGTCAGTGTTCTAATATGAAAACAAAAGAGCTTTGAAATTGTAAGAATAAAAAAGTGAGATATTCGACTGAATACTAAACTTGCTCCCGTGGTTTAGGTACCTAAGGCAACCGTAACGGAGATTTTGTTATTTTTTTATAAAGTAAACCTAATTGTAAGAGGACGCTATGCGGTATTCTTTAGAAACTTAGATCTATTTTCAATTAAAAATAATAATCTAAACATAAAAATCTATTGCTGTCCGTTAGTCAAAAACTCGAGAATGCCTCAACCGATTTTGATGATTTTTTTTTGTGTGTATTTGAGTGGTTCCCTGGTAGGTTTAAAGTCTCAATTGGACCCGGTAGGTGGAGCTGTTGTCGATATCCAGAAATCACCCGTGCGAAGCCGCAGCGGATCGCTAGTTAAGAATTGTTGTTGCGCATTGTCACTCCAGCCCGGCTAGCATGGGCGGGGGACAAAAATTTTTATCCCCCGATTATATCCACTGACAGGAGATAAAATTATCTTGTTATGTCAAACGGGGAGAAGTATATCCCCGTTTGACATAACGAGTAGACATATATCCCCCGTCCGTAGCATGGAGCCAAATGAAAGATAAAATATTATGCTTTTTTGACATTTGAAAGGGACAATTTTATCCTAGTTCATTGGACGTAGGTTGAAGTTTATATCCATACAAAAAATCTATCTAAGTCTAAGTCTATCTCCCAATTTATCTACTGTGGATATTATATCCACCGGTGTGCCCATGCTCTAAGGGTGGATAAAACTTAGTGAGGGGATAAACATTTTCTCCTTTCCCCGGGGATAAAATTGTCCCTCGCCCATGCTAGCCGGGCTGAGGTGTATAATATACCTCTTAGGGAAGGTCTCCCTTTCCCGGTGCCGACCCATTCCTGTTGCAGCTATTTTAATATCTAGTAAATGTTAAGTACACTAAAGTAACTGTTATTTAATACATTTATTAAATTAAAGACTTAAATAATATTCACCTTAATTTAGTCTCTAGTTCATCGATTTTGATGGTCATTTTCTTCACTTTTTCATGTAAGTCCTCGTTTTCTTGGGCCAATCGCGAATGCTTTGTGTTTAGTTCCTCTAAGAATTTTCGTAGTTCTTTGACTTCTTCTACCACAAAGTTTTCACAGCTTCCCTTGCAGCTGGCTGGTTCACGAATTATGTCAGAGTACAGACCAGTTAAAGACTGGTAACCCTAAAAGTACACAGGTAAGAACTATATTTTATTTTTATATTTTTACACAAAAGACAAATAATCTCGCGAAATGTCGTAAAGTGGATAATAAATTTGGATTGCATAGTTTAGGTGATTTTTGTGTAGAGTATGGGTCAGTAGGTGTAAGTCATGTAACATTAGATATAAAGGTATTTATTTGTTTGAAACAATAAGGAAGTTATTAACAAAAACGTACATTGTTCAAAAGAAGCAATGGACTACATTTTCACCCGACTTCAAAAAAAGTAGGAGGTTCTCAATTCGCCTGTATTTTTTTATTTATTTTTATGTGTGTTACCTCAGAAATTTTTTCTAAGTGAACCGATTTTGATGATTCTTGTATGGTGCTACTCATATGGTCCCATATAAATTTGATCAAGATCTGACTAGTAGTTTTTGAGTTCTCCTTATGCGTATTTAATTGACTTCGATTTTTTTTTTATAGAATAAGGATGACAAACGAGCACACAGTTCACCTGATGGTAAGTGGTTGCTGTGGCCCTTAGACATCTACATCTACCCTCGTTTGCGAATCAAAATGCAGATGCGTTGTCACCCGTGAGGACTAAGATGGAATGCCTCTTTTCCAGTAAAAAGGATCTCCGGTTCTCTACACTCACCATACGAAACACAGCAGCATTAAGCTGCTATTTTACACTGGTATTCTGTGAGAGCGTGGTCCTCCCGGTCGAGCCGACCCATTTGTGCTACAACTATACTATTAATATAGCGGCAGCAAGGCTCTACCACGTATAAAACATTATACATTGATGATGTACTCATTTTATTTATATTGAAGTCGGTTGTACAAAATTTTTAATTTTACCACTTGTGTAGTTATACTAAGACAGTTTATTTTTTTATATAATCGCAACGTAACTGGTACACCATAAATGTCGAGTATATTATAACTTTGGCATTTGTGATGTATTATATAAAACATCCCCTATCTTTATTACGAATGTGAGTGAGCTAGTAGGTCCTATTCAAATGCTGTCAGTGTATCAACATTACAGTAGCAAATAATGCTCCGCTCATTACCCTAATAACGACAGATTTCTGATCAAAAGTGACGACAGATTAAGTTAGGAAATGACTGTCTTTTCCCAGATGTCCTTGAAAGAACGAATAAACGAAAAAAAAAATTTTGTAAAAAAGCCTGACAATCTTTTTCAAAGTGCCGGTCACTTATTTCTGCCGCGGAGTCCACGCTCATGGCGAAAGCATAAGGCAAGGCAGACCACAATTTGTTCATTTAAAACCCAAGCCATACCCTGCATAAAGAGTAAGAAAGAGCTGTGGTATCACCTACAGTAGCGTTTCACAAAAAAGATATTTAAAAAAAATGCGTTGTTACATGTACACTGTAATACAATGCAACAGGACCACGAGTGTTTGTCATGACGTCAGTTTTATTAAAATGCCGCACTAAATGCTGACATTTACCAGCATTAAATAGCAGCATATTGTTGTATTTTAAAATCAGTTACGAATACTGAGGGCCTTTTTTATAATGGTAGGCATTCTATCTTAATCCTCAGGGGTGAAAACACAAGAGACTTAAAGTGGTCATAGGCTCGGGAGAGCAACCTTCGACACCGACTCTGAGAGACTGTTCACTTAAAAGGCCCTTTACCCATCTGATTAGACCAGTAGATAAATTGTACGCTGAAAGCTTGAATAATAGGCTGGTGTGCCAGACTCTGTCAAAGGCCTTTTAGACATCAAGGAAAACAGCAATTGTTTTATAATTTTTTTTTCTAAAGCCTCGTCCAATATATTGTAGAGTATCGATCGATTATGGCGGAATCCGTACTGTCGGTCGCTGAAAGAAGTCGTTTTGCTCAAGATATGCCATAAGGAGCCGTTCAATGTATACTATACAATCTTGCAGAGTATGGAGATAATTTAGGATTGGCCAAGCCAATGCGTAACCAAGCCAAGATTGACAGAGTAGGCGCGGCTGCCTTTTTTGGATACAGGCCACACACACACACACACACACATTACCAGGTTTTAGAATTTAGGCGCTATACTAGTCTTAAATGAGAAGCGGAACAAGCGCATGAATACAGGTGACAACTGAGGGCCACAAGACTACGACTATAGCTGGAATACCATCTGGTCCACTAGCTTTGTTCACGTCTATACCCGGCAAGATTTGATTTATTTTAATGAAGGTGTATATGGGCCACAGCATTCAATAACTACTTCGTGAATCGTGATCTGTGTGATCGTTTGTATGGCTGTACTATACAAAAATAAATAAAGTTAAATGTTGTACGAACGATAAGCATACTTTTAAATATGCATTGGTCTTTTACGAACCGTCACATCTCTCTTTTCAAATCTTTACAATTTAAACTTTTTTAATTGAGATTTGACCCATATTGATCAAAATAATAATAATGTAATTGAATTATTCTAACTACAACTTCCGAGAACTAACTCGGCTCCTCGCCGTGTGGTAGCGGCGTAAAAAATACCACAACTTACTTTCGCACCATGAGGCAAAATATTAACGAAATGGCCCCGAGTTCCCGGCGCCCCTTTAATGGGGCAGGGGTGCGAAGAATCTCCGGGAGGAAAACCGGCGACGAGGTTCGCCACCCGTCACGTTCTGTCCCCCGGAGGGGCGAAAAGTGGATTGCGGAAGCCCGTCTGGCTACATTGAATGTATGTGGAGGAATGAATGATAAGATGGATGAAGTATGCGATATGATGTATGATAGAGGAATAGACGTGTTATGTGTGAATGAAACGAAACGGAAGGGAAAGGATGCCACTACACATGGCATGTATACCGCGTACTTGTCTGGTGTAGACGAGACCGAGCGGGCATGCCAGGGAGTCGGTATCATCCTTTCAGAAAGAACGGGTCATTGTGTAAAAGAGTATGAATGTGTAAGCCCGAGACTGCTATGGATACGAATGAAAGTGGGCTTAAAGAAGTTGTTTGTTTTAGGGGTCTACGCCCCAGACATGTCTAAGCCCACTTATATCCGAGAGCAGTTTTGGGAGTTGGTAAGGATGGTGCTAATGAAATGCAAGGTTAATGAAAATATTGTGATACTAGGCGATTTTAATGGAAGGGTTGGGGTAAGGAGGCTTGGTTATGAAAGGATATTGGGAACGTTTGGTGATGAAAGTATAAATGAGAATGGTGAAAGCCTTCTCGCCGTATGCGTGGAAAAGAATCTTGTTGTGACTATTTATGGACAGTTGTTTGGAAAATTTGAGAGTAGAAGAATGCGGGTTAAGAATGGGTGAGTTAACCGTCAAATGCCTTTTGTACGCCGATGATCAAGTCATACTTGCATCGTCGGCAGCCGAGTTGCAAATGATGGTTACATTAATGAACAGGACATTAAAAGAAAAGGGAATGAAAGTGAACGCAAGTAAGACGAAAGTTATGGTTTTTGAAAGAGAAGAAAGTAAAACGATATGTGAAATAAGAATAGAAAGGGAGTTGGTAGAGCAAGTAGATGAGTTTGTATATTTGGGATGTGTGTTTAGCAGGGATGGTAGATATGATAAGGATATAGAACGACGAGTGAATGCAGGAAATAGAGTGAATGGGGCTCTACACTCTATTGTGAAAAGTCAGAATGTGTCCAAAAAGGCACGTATGGCAATTCACAATGCTGTGTTAGTACCTACTTTAATGTATGGTAGTGAAAGTTGGGTTTGGCAGAAGAAGCATGAGAGTAGAATAAATGCTGTAGAAATGCGGTCATTAAAGAGTATGTTAGGGATGAAGCTGAATGACAGAGTGAGAAATTGTTTAATAAGAGAAGAGTGTGGTTTGCAAGATGATGTTGTGACCAGGATTAAGAAAGGAATGCTTCGGTGGTTTGGCCATGTAGAAAGAATGAATGAGGAAAGAGTGACAAAGCAAATTTATGTTGCAGAGGTGAACGGCATAGTCGGGAAGGGTCGCCCTAGGCGAAAGTTTATCGACCAAATTGGCGATATATTAAAAATGGGCCAAATCAAGAGTACCTTTAACCGACGAGCGTGTATGCGTAGGTATATGGATGTGGAGGAAGCGAGAGAGGTGTGTCAGGATCGTGCCAAATGGAAGTCCATAATCTCTGCCTACCCCTCTGGGTGACAGGCGTGAGTGTTTATGTTATGTATATGTATGTACAACTTCCGATTTTATTTTTAACTAGCTGTTCCCCGCGACTTCGCTCGAGTGTTAGGGTTTTTATGTTTTTGTGCGGAACCCTAATCATTTTTATAAAATAAAAGTAGCCTAAGTTAATCCTTATGAAATCAGCTATCTGCCAGTGAAAGTCCCGTCAAAATCGGTCCAGCCGTTTCGGAGATTACCCGGAACAAACAAACAGACAGACAGACAGGCAGACAAAAATTTTTAAAATTGTATTTTAGTTATAAGTACTGTATTTACTTTCATATGCATTTAGTAAAAAACTTTAATTTTTACATTACAAACAGACACTTCAATTTTATTTATTTGTATAGATTTTCGACTTAAACTGTTCATGGTTCTGGTAGCACAATGGACATGGTTATTTAGAATTCTGATTCTTCGTTTGCCATTTTTGGGATCACAGTAATTTGATAAAAAAATATTTTGACATAAATGTTAAATTTATGCCAAATTAATTAAACACAGTTATGGAATTCCATACATCCAGTCCACTACTGCCACGCTTGGCAGGCGTGTTGGCAACTACAACTTTTTTATTATTTTGCGTTGTTATCAGGAAGACTCTACTGCTCATCTGCTCTTCTATTGCAGTTTCCCTCTGTCGCCTCTTACGACACCCACGGGTTGATAAGGGGTAGTGAATATTCCTACTTCGCCACTACACTAGGGAATTGTTTATTTAAACAACTGCAAACTTTGTGTTAAAATATCCTACTTGATGTTTTAAAATATCTTTTGTAAATATTTAAATAATATACCACTACGTAACTTGTAGACCTAATTTGTAGATTTTTATTATAGTAAACATTATGAATTTTATAACTGTGAGCGAACATTACATATAAGCAAATATTAACTTTAATTTACCTTTCGGCCAATCCAAGTGCATATGTCCAGGAGACGCCATGACTTCTTGGGATTGCCGCGACGGACACCCTTATCTTTGCGTGGAGTTTCACCTGATAACACGAACCACTCCATGTCATTAAGCAATCCCGTCTCTATCGCACACTCGATTTCCACATCCAAAGTAATACTGTTCTTCTTAATATCCACTGATTTCATTTTGTAAACTTAAATATTTTATATATAACAACACAATAAAGAAGTAATAAACCAAAATTCGTTGGACCACTACGGTATTTTGTGAGCGTTAGTTTTAAATCGTTGGATGATGTCACTTCGCTATATTTATCTCCGGGCGACTCTCTCATGAGTAAAAAAGTTGTTATTCGAACTTGTGATTCTATCATACTCTACATTATGTTAACCTATCAACCTCTTGTTATGTATCATGTGTTAATTTTATTTACGCATGTGTTATTAATATACTGATTGATAATCGTAAATATGATTATAAATATTTTGCTTGTTTTTTTTTACTTGTAAAACTAATTGTAAGATTTTTTTTTTATAGGATAGGGTGACAAACGAGTACACAATCCACCTGGTGGTAAGTGGTTACTGTGACCCATAAACATCTACATCTATCCTCAACTAAGAATTAAAATGCAGACGCGTAGTCACCCATGAGGTAGTTCTCATGGGTGGCAGTAAAAAGGGTCTCCGGTTCTCTACACTCACCATACGAAACACAGCAGCGTTAAGCTGCTATTTCACGCTGGTTTTCTGTGAGATACACAATTGTAAAAGGCTAATTTGTGTTTTGAGGCCTTAGTTTCAAGCTATAAATGCACGTTAAATTAAATTGTTATAAGTATAAACTAGCACGTATCTATTTTAATTTATCATAAAATTTATCATCAAATGCAGATAGATGCAGGTGGTCCAGAATCACGTTTTGCTGCATTCCTCGGAGGAGACCTATATCCAGCAGTAGACTTGTGAAGGGTTGTAATGATGATGACAGATATCATCTAATCAGTTATTAGACATATTATACCTCTGAAATATACTCCTGAAATCTCCGTGTTTTTGGAGGTTGATCCCCATCACTAATTTAAAGGTAACTCCAGGGCTGAATTGTGCTAGTCGTAACATTTATAGTAGGATAGGGCGAGAATGAAAACAAGTTAGTTAGACAACCTAAATACCTCTATAACTACAACTTGACCAAAACAATTAGGCGCATGACAGGAATGCGGTTTCGGTGCCCGCACACTGCCTCTATCCTCGCGCTTCCCCTAGTGACCAATCACCGTTCCGATTTTCCCTCCCTAGTTAATTGTTTTGGTCACGCAGTAAATATCATAGGCAAAGGCAGCACGTGACCGAGAGTTGTTGCGGTAGGTATGAAAAATTATCACGCAATCGCCGATAGCCGCGATCGACTGACTGCCGTGACCGATTATATTATTTAGATTATATAGATTATGCATAAGTAAACTGCATCGTTGACATTATGTTCAAGTGCATGCTCGTGCATAATGTCAGAAAGTAGCGGCTGTGTAATGTAAGAATATCCACTAACCTATATCATCCCTTGGGTGTCGTAAGAGACGACAGAGAAAAACAAATCAGATGGTCAGCAGCGTCTTCCTAATAACGACTATAATTAAAAAAACTGAGTATCAACTATGGATTTCAAAGTGGAGATCAAAAAAAATACTGGTACAAAATTTCCTAAGTGTGTGGTTTCTACAATCGAAGTTTGCGACGGTGATCTCTACCCAAATATAAATATAAAAATTATACGTGGTAGAGCCATGCTACAGCTATATTAATAATAGTACCTATAGTTGTAGCACGAATAGGTCTGCTCGACGGGGACGGACCACGCTCTCACAGAATACCAGCGTAAAATAGCAGCTTAACACTGTTATGTTTCGTTTGGTATGGTCAGTATAGAGAACCGGAGACCCTTTTTACTAGAAAAGAGACATTCCATCTTAGTCCTCACGGCTGACAACGCATCTGCATTTTAATCGCAAACGAGGATAGAAGTAGATGTCTATAGGCCACAGCAACCACTTACCATCAGATAGACTGTGTGCTCGCTTGTCACTCTTATCCTATAAAAAAAATAAAGACTGCTGAAAATTCTGGCAACTCTTCCTATAAGCGGTGCGACATCAGAGAGATAATTTTCTACGCTAAGGCATGTAAAAACTTGGTTGAGAGCAAACATGTTAGAGGCTGACAGGTTAGCTCTTCTAAATATTAATCCAGAGATCCCCCAGATGTCTCAAATATTATCATCCGATTTGCCAATAAAAATAGAAGACTTCGATTTGTTGTATAACACGTGCAATAAAATTGGGTATTGTGCAATTAAGTCTAATTTACTCGACATATTTTATTATTAGTGACCTCCTCCAAAATTATTGGCTGCGACCGCGCCTGATTGTAGTGGTATTAGTTGAAATGGTGGTATTTCTTTTTTTTTGGAGTTTATGGCCTGGTATCTAGACCTTTAGGCCAAGTCTTAAGTATTTTTATTCGGTTTATTGTAATTTCCCCACTCCTTCATAGTATACTGCTTCACAATATGTTGATGCGTCACATTGTGCAGTTCTTGGGAGATTTTGGCGGCAACTTGATCCAGCAGACAGCTGATAGTTGGCGATGGTATCTAAAGGTGCCTATGCAAACAAACAGCTTATCTTGAGAATCCATCACCATCAGAGCACTTGTTTCACTGTTTCCACTAATAGTTCACATGCGTAGACACTTAATACACAAAGTCGCAACACTTTTACATATCAAAGTCCACTTCAAACCATTATTTAAACAATAATACAGGAGCAGCAAACCGCCGCCAGTCAATTTCCCGCCAAAACTCCTGAAATGGTGGTAGGGTTAGAGCTAGGGTTGCCACCTTTTTTTGAACGAATATATTTGAAGAATAGTATTTTGCCCAAAAAAGATGCAAAAATATTTAATATATATATATATATATATATATATATATATATATATATATATATATATATATATATATATATTTAATATTTTTTATATAAATACTTATGGGAAATTCAGGAAAAAAACAGTACACATTTATTTTTAATCTTTATGTATTTTACTGTTATTTTACTGTTGTTACTTTACTGTTTGTTTCTTCTTTCCATTTTACATTTATGACGGAAGAAGTTCTTTCCGTAAAACTTACTTGTTCCAGACTTCCAGTCACAGTTAATTAGCGCGTCAGTTGAATTAGGGATAAAAATACAGTATTTTTCGTACTATAATGTTTTTCTAAAATATGTAGTATAATTAACTGAAATATACTACGACACTACAAATTATAGTACGGGTGGCAACCCTAATAATACCTGAATATTAACACAATATACCTTTCTGCTCTATTTTATATTATAATCTCTTCCCGCCAAGTAAAACTATTCTGTTAACTATTTTTACACTATTGTGTAAAAAAAACGGTGTCTGACGGCTCGGTAGCGCAGTGGTTAAGCGTTTGCTTGCGGGACGACGGGGCATGGGTTCGATTCCCGCAAGGAAAAAATATTTGTACCAAATGCTGGCTGTGAGGAACGAGCGACTGAACGCGGGACTCCGCGGGCTACTTACTGCTTTACAATAACAACGCGCCCACGAACTCGCACCTCAATAAGAGAGACCTGGTTAGCACATGGGATCTCAGACATAAAATAAATATAAAATACAAATTTGAACATACGGATCGACTATTGATATATATAAGCTAAATTTTGACTTGGATTTTAAAAGAACGACGATTAGTAGATTATAGAAAATTATTAAAAAAAAATCACACATTATAGTGGTACATTAAAATATAAGATAATTAAGTACTATATTTTGTACCAAACGGTTCAGTTCATAAATTCTAAATTTTACGCAAATAACATCCCAGCATCCCAGGTAACGTTTATTGCAAAATTCATTACCGATTCGTCAGCTTGAGATGCCCTTACATATTATACCATAACACTGAGATCGGCCAAATATTATTCGAATTCTGAAAGAAAAGTAATGAACAAAGAGTTTATTACTTACAATTGTAGCTACCAGGATTCAAGCTGAAAGCTCCTTTGTTTTATAATGCATGTTAAATTTTCGGTTTTCTTGTGAGTAGTTTAAGTACTGTAGTACATTAAGTGTGTATAAAGTTAGCTAAAAGTAACATTTGTGGCATCTGATAATAATCAAATTTATTACCATTTTGTTGATTCATGAAGGTATTTGCCCGTCATCCTTTCTAAAATAAATAAACTATGTAAATAAACGTAAATGTGCTTACTAGTTTTCTTTCTTGATCTTTGCAGTGCGTTCCTAATTAAACTCGTGTCCGATTTTAGCCTTCTTTTACGAATCTTATATGAGCTATTGCTATTTATAGATTTAAATGATGCTTCTGATCCTGTTGACATCCTGCTAGATGAGTCCGATGATTTAAGTGGCTTACTTTCTGTTAAAAAATTAGTCGAATGGCTTGGTGTACTGAGTACAGTACATTTCGTCTTCTTCAAGGGTCGAAATTCCCCATTGTCTTCAAATGAATCGTTTCTATATCTCTTATTAACCAAACACTGCTCAGAATTCTTGTTAGATGTAGATTCTTCTAAATTGAATTCCTTACTAAATGACAGGCTTACATCTACCATGCTACTGTTGTTTAGTGTAGCAATTGACTCCGTTTGAGTGGAAGAGTCGGATTTACTTACATCTGTCATCACAATACTTACAAAAGGCAGTGTGCTATTGCTCTCATTGTCTTTAAGATTGTCTAAATTAGGCTCCCAAGAAATATCAATTAAACTATCTTTGGAACATTTTCGTATTACTTCTATTGATCTATTGATTAAGTTTTTAGTTTCGTTGTCAACTTTAGTTTCTTTTTTACACTGAAGTGTCATTTTGTTGCGAATCAATATTACACACCAGTTTTATTTTAACATTAAATTAAATAATAATTAATAAATTTTGTGTATGTAATAAAAATAGTATATCAGATTTAATACCTTGATCGCTTCTTGATCGAGTCAAATATATTTAATGTCGGGTCGTGTCGGGTACTTGTATAATCTTTTATTTTTATCCATTAGCCCGTTACCAACGGGTTTTCATACAAAATAACGCTTTTGCGTTAGTATGTTAGAATAAAAAATATATCGATAGTCTAGAAGACAAACGTGCTAACTACGGTAAGTGTGGACATTTTTCAGAAGAGCAGTTTAAAATATCACAAGTTTTCAAAATGACTATCTGTCTACGTAATGTAATAGGAAATTAATTTTAAAGGAATATAAGTACTTACATATTTACAAAAATATGCAGAAAAAACATGCTTGTATAACTTACCATTTGTGATCAATTATGTGCAGAACGTTCCTACATACCAATCTATACAAATAAATAAAATTGAAGTGTCTGTTTGTAATGTCAAAATTACAGTTTTTTACTAAATGCATATGAAAGTAAATACGGTACTTATATAACACGGTAACTAAAATACAATTTTTAAAATTTTTGTGTCCGTCTGTTTGTTCCGGCTAATCTCCGAAATGGCTTAACCGATTTTGACGGGACTTTCACTGGTAAATAGCTGATTTCATAAGGATTAACTTAGGCTACTTTTATTTTAGAAAAATATTTAGGGCTCCGCGCAAAAACACAAAAACCCTAACATGCGGGTGAAGTCGCGGGGAACAGCTAGTTAATAATAAATAAGTATTGATTTTTAAAACAGTTTATTTAATTTTTACTCAACTAATCATTATTATTTTATATTAAAAAGACTATATGGAATCAAGGATCTCCATTCTATCTCCATTCCTTTGTTTACATTACACATTGTTTACTGTACAATAATATTGTACATATTATTGTACAGTAAACAAAGGTATTTGGTATACAAGCAAAAATATTCATTTTCCCACTACTCTGTCAATATTCATTTTTATTGTGTGCGTTATAACTTTTTAACTTTGTTCACATTGATATAAAACAAAACGTGTGTGTGTACTTATGTCCGCACGTAAGAAGTTATACTTCTTTAGCGTAACAAAACAAAAATAACTAAAATAAAACACGTTTTATACATTCATATATATTTGAATAACTACCTCGAGTATAGTTATCAGTTCTCACGAACACTTAACAATTGACCGACAATTACCAACTGAAGTTGTATTCACTCTCATCATTTTTCTCAAACGCGCCAAAAGAAGTATAACTTAAAAACTTGAGTAAGCACTTAGCACACTCAGAACATTGTTTAAAACAAGTTGCTCGTTAGCTGCCTGCATACGTAATTCATTGTTTGACTGTGTACCTAACACAAAAAATCTGTAGCAGAGTATGCATTGTGTACATATGCGGTGCAGCCTGGTGAAGCAGCTCAAGCGAAATTTAAGGGATAGCAATCCAAAACTAATTTAACAACCCAACAATATCCATTGCTTCATGTGATTGACAAATTCGTTTGCTCGACAGTAAAAACCACGCAATGGATGTTGTTAAACTGTCAAATTGGTATGATTTGCCATTTTAGGTGTGTTACGCAATTAGGCTATGGATTTAATTTCTATAATTATATGAAATAAGAACAAACTCATGTTAGTAAAAATATCGATATCAGCTGCCCATATTGCTGAGTTACAACCCTATAAAAAGCGGCCATTTTATGCGCCAGATTTGTTTAGGTAGTCACGCTAATTCTGTAGATATGCCCAGTCCATATACTTCTAAGTCAGTGTAATAACATTACTCACCTTATACAGCATTGCGCTACTCTATGTTGGCAATCAAACTTAAAAGATAAACAAAGAGTACCTAAGTATTTAAAATGCAGCTAAACAGCAAACTGGTGATAGATTGTGCAATAAAACTATACAATTTGTATCTTAATATTGTATCAGAACTCCAGTTGAAAATACATTTCAGCTTCTAAAGCTTCCTAAAATATTTGATACAATAAACTGGTGACAAAATCATCCATGGTAGTTTGTAAATTTATTCGTTGATCATCGGCATCCAAGTGATAGAGAATTTTTGAATTGTAGTGGTACTTATTTATGAAGATTGCGAATAAAAGGTTGATGTTTCTTTCTGAAATATTTCTTGTATTTTGTGTTAATTAGATTATAAATGGATAAACTAAACCCGGATATTCCTAAAAGTAAAAAAAATTAAAAATGTGTAAGAAAAGTACAGAATCAGCCTTAGTCACTAAAAAAGTTACGTACTCTATGACTATATTTCCAGTTTCCAAATGGGAAATTTTGGCGGGAACTTGACCGGCGGCGGTTTGCTGCTTCTGTATTATAATTTAAATAATAGTTAGAAGTGGATTATGATATGTAAAAGTGATGCAATTTTATGTATTAACTGTCTAAGCATGTGAACTATTAGTGGAAACGGTGAAACAAGTGCTGTGATGTTGATGGATTATCAAGATAAGCTGTTTGTCTGCGCCTGCCTTTAGATACCATCGCCAACTGTCAGCTGTCTGCTGGCTCAAGTTGCCGTCAAAATCTCCCAAGGGCTGCACAATGTGACGCATCAACATATTGTGAAGCAGTGAACTATGAAGGATAATATAAAAAAGACAAGGCTGTATGGCTTAGTTCTTTTGCCTGCTCTCTCGAGCGAATAATAAAAACAACAACAATGCGGCAAAAATGTCAAAATATTTTTTCTTTACCCTTGATCAGCAGATCAGCTGATATAAACAAAATTTTAAATGAAAACTTAAAATAATATCGGTAAATGCATATTAAATAAATATAATAATCAACGCTTTTGTGTTGTCATGCGTTATGCGACAAAGAAGAAATTTTTGTATTTAGTGTTTATTATCTTAGTGTTAATTTTACTCCTACACGGTGATATAACACGGAAAACTAATGTATTTATTGAGAAACGTAAAATTTTAAGTGTATTGCATGACGAAACATCTGAAAATTTTACTAGTACTGCCATTGTTGACTGTGATTATTATGATATAATTTATGATGATACAAAATTACCGTTGAATTTAATAGACGGCGATAGTGACATTTACAGAATAAAAAAAGGTGGAGAATATGCTCCAACTGAATGTAAAGCTAGGTTTAGTACAGCAATTGTTGTCCCATATCGGTAATAACTCTATATCTTTATCATAATATTTTAGAATGCTTTGGTAAATATATAATTTTATTACTTATTGCGATTAATGACTACAGGGATAGAGCTGAACTCTTGCGAAGTTTCTTAGTATATATGCACTCGTTTTTGCGTCGCCAGTATATCCACTATCGGATATATGTTGTGGAACAAGTGGATTCACAACCATACAACAGGGCTAAGTTGATAAATATTGGTGCAGTAACTGCCATGAGAGCTGGATATCCTTGTCTGATTCTTCACGATATTGACTTGTTGCCAATAAAGGTGGCTAATATATATGCTTGCACCAAGCAGCCTAGGCACATGTCCAGCACTGTTAATAAGTTTAGGTGGAAAGTGACTAAGTATAAATCTTTTTTATGTAATACAAATACAGTAGTGGAACAAAAATAAACCATTTATTACTTTTAATCTCACTAACTATTTATGAACATCAACTAGACGGCATTCTTGTAGACATTTCAAGTAGTAGCTTTAATCGCTGAGAATGTGCACAATGTATGACTGCTTAAATTATCATGTTTATACACTGCCAATAAATGTGTGAACAGTAGAAAATAATCATTCAGTCTTATTACAAAATATGGTTTATTGAGTCTCCGTTTTAAAGAAGAGTCTTTGTCATGAACAATGTCCTTTAGCTGCGGGGCCACAGTCTTTTTTAGTTTGCATATTTTTAATAACTGTTGAATCAGACTCTAGTTTAACCCTGAGACTAATTATTAACTACTTTTTGTAATAAAATTGTACGAGTCCTAAAACATACTTATTATTTACAGTTTTGTTTTGCCTTATCTAAAACTATTTGGAGGGGTTACTGCGATTATAGCAAACCAATTCAAAAATATAAATGGAATGAGTAACCGATATTTTGAATGGGGTGGTGAAGATGATGATTTTTACGCTCGTTTGGAGTCACACAAACTAAAACTGTGTAGGTTTGAGCCTGAAACGAGTGAATACCATGAGATTGCACCTAGGCTACAAAGAAAGAGGTAAGGACAGAGTTAATTATTTTAGATTTACATTTACACAAGAAACCATTCACAGCCTTTTTTACCCAAGATTATTTAGGTACCTGTATGGTTTCTTATTTGACAACCTATTGTTAAAGAGTAAACATATCGATAAAATAATATCAACCAAAGCTCTATGGTAAGCTTGTTTGTTAAGCTTGAACAGAAGCACTTGGAAGTATCAATAGCATGATTTAGTTTTATATTTGTTATATCTTTGTGGTGAGATGACTATGCCTCTACAATACTATTCACAATAATTTATTTTAAAGATATAAAGGTGCCCCACCATATCAATAACGCCTATATAATAAGTAATTTATCCTATGATTTCATGGCATCAAATTACACAGTTAAATAAATTCAATATCTTCCCTATTTTTTTAGGAATGTAAGAATGCAACAATCAAGGTTTCCAGAAGACATTGCTGAAGATGGATTAAGCTCATTAAAGTATACTGAAGTGGCCACAGTTCTCCATCCACTATTTACCCATATCATGGTTGATTTGTAGCATATCTGGTTACAGCTTGTTATGTTATGTTAATTGATAAAAGGACTATGCTTAACTGTTAGGAATTGAAGTACCTGCCATTAATCACATAGATATAGTTTGGTAATTTTTTTTAGTAATACATAAAAGCAATTTATGTATGTAAACTGCCTCCACGGTACAGGAGAAAATCCTAATGTGGAACATAAAATACATATCAACATGATTTATTAAAGTATTTTTTATCATCATTAAAATTAAGTATATTAATTATTAAAAAGTAGCCTGTGTTTTAATATTAAAAATAAAAAAATTCTTTCACTTTGCTATCAATAGTCAAGATGTGATTAGTATCATAATTATTATAACAGCTCATTGTATGTGTCCATTACTAATAATATATCTTCAGATATATTAATTTCTTCAGTTACATTATCTTGGTGATTGTGTTTCCATTCAAATTATAACAATTTAAAATTAAAAATCTGGATGGTTTCCAGGCTAATTATGTATAGAATACAAAGACTAACCTCATAATTATATGATACCAGTGATCAGCCCCGGCTTCGCACGGGAGATTTTTTTTACACTACCTACCGTGTCCAACTATAGCTAAGAACCATCCAAATGACCTCCCTAAAAGAAAACTAAGTACTCCCTAAAAGTTCATCAAAATCTGTGAAGCCATTTATTGGAAGAATTACCAACAAGTTTGTCGGATGAGACTCGCTCTTAGTTAAGATATATATAGATGTTGTGATACATTTTTCTATTACAACAATAAATATTCTAACAGAAATATTATTAATTAAATATTATATATATATATATATATATATATATTTACCTATACCTACGCATACATCCTCGTTTGTTAAGGGTACTCTTAATTTGGCCCATTTTCGCTGCGGCTCTTTAGTTTCATAAACAAATATTATTTATTTTATAAAAAAAAACATTTAAAAATCGATCCACACTGAGCCATTTGGAGTTGATACTGGATCTCTAGAAATGCAATTGATCGATTTAAAAAGTAAAACTTTATGGTGTTGAAAAATAGTTGGAGGTCCAGAAATACATAACGCAACAAAAATGAACAGATTTATAAGAAATGCCGCGAGTTGAGGCACTTATATTCGACACATGGAATAGTCTTCCAGATTGCTACAGTGAGGTGAAGAAGTTGGCATTTGGAGTGCTGACTATCTTCGGATCGACATATTCGTGCGAGCAAGCGTTCTCTTGCATGAATATAATTAAAAGTAAAGTAAGAAACCAACTAACAAATGAGAATCAGAGTTGTGTTTGAAACTTAAAACAACAAGTTATGAGCCAAATTTATCCAAACGTTCTACAACCATGCAAAGCCAACGCTCCCATTGAATTTGTTTCCTTAAATGTATGTTATTATTTTTTTTTATATTTAAGTAAAAGTTACATTGTTTAGTAAAGTTTAAATTTTCTACTTGAATAACCATACAAAGCTAAAACTCCCATTGAATTTCTTTGCTTAAATGTACGTTATTGTTTTTTTATTTTTAAGTAAAAGTTACATTGTTTAGTGAAGTTTAAGTTTTCTACTCGAATAACCATACAAAGCCAAAGCTCCTTATATACTAGCTGATCAGGTAAACGTTGTTCTGCCCTTTCCGACGACCATGTGTCCTAAAACATCCTTGGATTCGCAATAAAAAATATTGAAGGTCACTTACCTCGATAAAAAGTATCCTATCTCTCAAGTTGGACCAAAGTGTACACATTGTGAAACATTTCATAGAAATCAGTTCAGTAGTTTAGGAGTTAATCACGGACAAACAACGTGACACCAAATTTTTATGTATAAACTAGCTCGCCAGGCAGACGCTGTTCTGCCCTTTCCTAAAAGACCCTTCCTAATAAAATCCTTAAATTCGCAATAAAAAATTTTGGTGGTCATTTATCGGGATAAAAATTATCCTATCTCTCAAGTTGGACCAAAATGCAAAATTTCATTGAAATCAGTTTAGTAGTTTAGGAGTCTATCGCGGACAAACAACGTGATACGTAATTTATATATATATATATATATATATATATATATATATATATATATATTGTGACTCTTTAAAAACTTTGAAATTTTATAAATTGTAATTTTCGACTCTTCCGACTCAAAAGATTGCCGACCCCTGGCCTAGGGCGTCCCTTCCCGATTTTCAATTTGGTTTTACTATTTTGTAAACAGGTAATTTAAAGTAAGTAGTAGATAGATCATCACATACACTAGCATTTAAAAATGCACACGTGTATACACTTAAGTCATTTATTACAATATATACAATAGACAACGTACATGTTGTGGCCAAGTCGTAGAATTGATCATAACTTGAAGTGGCAGACCATGAAACGCAACCATTTCACGATATGGCCATATTATATAAATGTTAAACTATTTAGTAATATAAGTTACAGTAGGTTAAGATACGGCTGTGGTGGCCCATATTTATATAAATTAGGCACATAGTGATGTGGACTCTGCTAAAAAAATGCGCTATCAGCGCCGCTAGTGGTAAACAATGAAACTATTTTACGATATGACCATACAATATATGAACATATCATGAAATAGCCATTGAAGTAATATGTACTACATACCAGAACAGATACCAAGACTTGTTTTTGCAACACGCTTTAAAGTCCGCGGGCTCTAATCCAAGTAGTCTGTGCCAAGTGCTTGCAACAACGTGACGTGGAGTGAAGTTAAAGCATATTATATATGCCAGTCTTTTAAACTTAACTTCTGTATATTACCGGTAAAACACACGACCTTTAATTAAATTTATCAATTATGGTGACACGTCACCGCGCTGGCGGACAGGTTTCGGTAAAATAATAGAGTAATAAATTTTCACAACAGATGTAACTCTATTGACGTTGTAATCAAAAATAATAAAATATTAACTACGTTTTAGTAACAATTGTAATATAAAATAAATACTAGACCACTACATGTCCTCCATATCGAATTCCGGTCACGGCGGCTAGCCTCAATGGAGACAAGCCATCTGCGCTTTATAGCATTACTAGCTGTGCCCCGCGACTTCGCCCGCGTGGAGTTATTTTTCGCGGAACCCTAAAATAAAAGCAGCCCAAGTTACTCCTTATAACATCAGCTATCTGCTATATCAGGGTGTATAAATATTGACATTAATATTAATACGATACTACGTCACTCAATTGTTTTGCCTTCCCGGAACCCCTCCACTAACACTTAAACTTTATGGTATGGTATTAAAGTTCAAATTAACTTTTAAGTATTGTTACGAATCTTTTGTATGTGAATATAGAAAAGTGCTGTTTTAGACTTTTTCAAGCAATTTTTTAAATTTTTCTCTCCGTAAGAACCGTCTTCGTACTTCAAGGAATATTATAAAAAAAGAATTAGGGAAATCGGTCCAGATGCTCTCGAGATTTGCGCTTAGCAACAGATTCAGCGATTCATTTTTATATTATAGAGATAGTGCCCGAGTACTCTCTATTCCCTCACTCTCATAGTCCGATGGGACGGTAAATCGACACGAGCGGAAAGAGATCAGGCGCAGAACCAACGGCTTTACGTGTTTACCGAGGCACGGGGGTGAAACACCGCCAACCTTTCTGACTCCGGGCGGCTACTGAGAATTCCGTGGCAGAAACACTCAATAGCTATTTTTTTTCTTTGGCTCGACCAGAGATACGAACCCGATACCACATGGTCAGCAGTCGCGTTTACAAACACTAGACCAACTAGGCAGTCATACAAATATAATCATTTTATATTCACGATAAAATATATACAGACGTGGTAGAGCCATGCTGCAGCTATATTAGTAGCTTAGTTGTAGCACGAATGGGTCGGTCGGGGAAGGACCACGCTCTCACAGAATATCAACGTAAAATAGCAGCTTTGTGTTTCGTATGGTGAGTGTAGAGAACCGGAGACCCATTTTACTAGAAAAGAGGCATTCCATCTTAGTCCTCACGGGTGACGACGCATCTGCATTTTGATTCTTTATTGAGGATAAATGTAGATGTCAATGGGCCGCAGCAACCACTTACTATCTGGTGGACTGTGTGTTCCGTTGTCACCCTATCCTATAAAAAAAATATTTTACAACATTGAAATGCAAACTTTATAATAAGATCAACATTAAAATATTGTATTGCAGTTTAATGACATTATTTTTCCCTTCTCACAGCATAATACAAATAGGCACAAAATATGCAGTGTCGCCTAAGTGTGATTATGTCGCATTTTTAACTCATTGGATTGGCCTCGTCCAATACGCCACGCACTGCCGAACGACTCTTTGTGACCGACTCATTTACTTATTTACCTTTTAAAATATTCAATAGACATTATAATTGTAATTATGAAATCATTATATTATGTAATATTATATTATTGAGCAACATATTTACAAAATTATTTGCAATATTAATGCCTAAAAATTGAACTTGATACAATTAATCATTACTCCACTTTATATATCTAAAAGTGGAGTAATGGATATTGTGTGGTGTAAGAATATCCACTACCCTATATCGTTTCGTGAGTGTCTTCTGAGGCGACAAAGGAAAATAAACTGCGGTTGCCAGGCGTGGCAACTTGGCAACTATAACCTAAGTTCAGTAGTGGACTTTGATGGGCTTTATAATTATTGTAGGGAGAATCATCAATATATCCCGTTTTCTGCACGCTGAAATTAATCTATGATGACAAAAACTAACTGCGCATGTGCGACGAGAGTGACGCATATTTTTTGTTTGTAATAGCTGTTCAAGTACGTTAGTTCATTATACTTCAATGGAAATAGCCTGTATTTAGTAGCTTATATCGTCAATCGGTCTCTATTCATTTATTGATCAAGCAAATAGTGTAATATTTCATGAAATATTACTATTTCACGAAATGGTCGGCTACCTTATAATATGACAAAAACTGCAAGATTTATTGCTATCAATTTAATTTTATATCGGAATAACATTATAGTAGCAACTAG